TTTTAAAATAACTTCACATCTATTCACAAAATTTTCCGGATACCACTGTTGATAGCATATGTATGTGTTGTATCAAGTAATAATAGGATATATTCATATATAGTGAAACTGACTATCATTATATTCTAATAGCAGGGATCAATATGAGATTGATATTTTCATAGTATGTTTGATTGATAGGTGGCTATCTGTATTATTTATATTTAATTTATTTAAAATCAATTATAAGATATTGTTTTACTTATTATTATTTGGGTAAAATGGACTTTTTTTTCAAAAATATTATTGAAATGTAATTTATTTACAAAAATATGGCGAAAATTACTATGGATAAAGTGTCGTGGTCATTTAAGTATAAAAGTTGAAAATATGTTACTATGATAATATTTACTTCTGTTAAAACATTTGTCCCACACCAGAAAGCTATAAAACAATAAACACTATATAAGGCTTTGAGCTACTCCTATCAGGTTGACCTTTTAGGATGGAAGTCATGGAATCCCGAGTCTTAACATGGTATCAGAGTCAATTCCGGTTGTGGTTTGACGACTTGTTTAGCACCCATGATTAAAGGTAGCTTGTTAAGGGTTTGTTTGACCCGATTATACACCCCAATATTGTACAGCCCGGTTCGGACTGAGTGGGCGTGTTAAAGCATTTGTCCTACACCAGAAAAATATAAAACAATTAAACACTATAATCATTATTATCTGCATTACTATGTTATGTATACTTTATTGCTATAAGAATCAAACTTGGTATGCTTTGATTTATCCATACTTTATTGCTATAAGAAACAAACTTGGTATGCTTTGATTTATCCAAGTCTACTCTATTTTGTTATGTTTACTAATTTAATGTAATTTGATCTAGCTTGTTATCAAAACAAGTCAAAAAAAAGTCAACAAAATCTAAAGATTCTACACATTCAAAACGGAGCTCTAGCTAGGCTGCCTCTAGCAACAAGCGATTAGATGTCGTTGGATTGCCTAACGTACAAATAAAACTACACCGACTGAAATAAGTGTGTAGGTGACTAATTGAACTACTTTTTTGAGTCCAAAGTGTTTTAAACGGATATTTCAACTCCTAAATAAAATAAGCTTGTTCTAAGAGGACGAAGGAAAGGAAAAAAGAAGGCTGAATGACGAGAGTCAGCTGCGGGATCCATATAGGGTAACTCATTTTTTGAAGTATTATAACTTTTTTATTCCGAATTTTGTAAAAAATACATCAAAATCACAACTTCTTCTATCTTAATAAATTGCAAGTTTTAATTCCCCATCAATCTATTTCATTTAAATTTTAAGATTTTGTAAAAACCTACAATTTGACACAAATATTAAGGGGCTTTTGTAGTGCGAAGATAAAACTTAGAAGAGGTAATGATTTTGATTCAAATCGAATGCCACATGCTAAAAAATGTCATAGTCTGGTGGTATTGACACCTGATGAATATAAGAGTCAAATTTTGATACTAAACTACCAGACCGACACTATTGACTCCGAACAAAAGTTCAATTTTTTGTCTTACCTGGAGATTCAATTTATAACATTCAACATTTCAATTGTTCCAAAAAAAACCCATTCAACATTTCAACTTATGCAATACGCTACCGATTGAAAAACCGACTCCTTTTGTTAGAATAGAAACCCCTTTTGAATAAAAAAACTTTTGAAATTAGTCTAGTGAGGGTGTACGGAAAATAGCGATTTGACCATTTTAGCATTTTTAAAAAATGAAAACGTTATTTGCTAAATAGTTGTTGGGTCTTGCATTTTTTAAAGGAACCGTTGAAATAGAAATGATGCAAATACGAGAGTTTTGGATTATTGTTTTGAAATCTAACGTTTTCTACGAATTTTATGGCTAAACAACTAAATTACCGAACATTTTTTGTCAACTAGCCAACATATTCTGCTAGTAAAACTTACTGACTGAATCCGCTATTGACATTCCGCTAACATAACTCGCAATCCACTAACCGCTAAATGCCAAACACGTCAATCAAGAAAAAGATGAATTACTCCCCGCATGAATTACTCAGTTTATGATTTTTATTCGTTGTTCAAAAGACTTTTTAACTACTTGAACTCCAACTTTTATAATACGTAGTAATTTTTTATTTATACTAATTCGGTTTTTGGGATTCTTTAGAATTGGTAGAGCATGTCAAGTCTTATTTCGTAACATGTCCATCGATTCATCCTTATGTTTGTTTTGGTCTAAATATCAAAAGAAGATTCAATGAATGGACCTAGCTAGGGGTGGACCCAGTCGACGGTTCTGGACCAAATCGGAACTGGGGCCGCCATTGTGTGGGACTGAGCCGGATGCAATTTTTTGGTCATAGGTTTGGACCGGGTACCTAACCGGGTTGCAGGCAGTCTCAGGCTCAGGTAAGGGATTTGGGGACTACATCTAGCGGTCTCGATCCAGGTTGCGATCCACACGATTTTTTTAAAAGAATGACTGGGGGAATAGCCGTTCCAAACGGCTAGTAACAGTTATATAGCCATTGGGGTTTGGGAGGTGGGGACTAGGGGTGGAGGAGTGGGTGGGGGGCTAAAAGTTTTCTTATAAATACCTAACCATCTTATTCATTTTTTCCTAGAATTCTACTTGTTACTTGTATGTACTCAATCTCTCTACTCTCAAATTCTCTTTTATGAAAGAAATTTGTAATTATATTCTAAAATCGGTTGAGATCGACACAATGGAGAAAATGTGCATCAACAACAACAACAACATCCAAGCATTAATCCAAAAAGATTTTGGGGTCGACTAACATGAATCGAACCATGATATCAGTGCCAAAAAGAAAAGACAAACAAGAAGAAAAAAAGGAAAAAAATAAAGATAAAGATAAAATAACAATAACATAAAAATAAGATACATAAAAGATGAAAAGATAAAAGAACATAAAAAGGCTAGAAGATAAATATAAGAATATAAAAAGATAAAGAAAGTCTGCATCGTTTTAATTTATTTTAATAACGCTACTTAAACGTTTTCTCATGTCTATACACCAATTAATAAGTAACCAATTTTTTTTTATAAAAACTGCTAATCTCGCCGATGCGTTTCAAGAATTTCCCCTAGCTACTTATGTTCGTTATTTTTGTGATTACATGAAGGAAAAGTTTTTAAAATATTTTAAAAACTACATTCCGCCTATATATACTATTGCTTTCTGTCTTGACCCTCATTTCAAACTGTCAAATTATCAAACAATTTTAGAGCACTGTTATACTGCTTTTACGGTCTGTACCGTATGTAAGAGGTCACCCATATAGATCCTCAAGTCCAACTCAACGAGGTTAGTAATCTATATCACACTTTGTTTAATGAGTTTCATACACAATATGGTAACGTACTCCTCTGAAATCGACTGCTTTTTCATATAAAGGACAAGGTGTTTTAAATCAACAATATATAGTCTTTTGAAAAAAAAAGTAAATCAACTCCTATCGTTGTACAAAACTCGACTAACGAGCTTTTTTTTTATATCTAACATTTCATATTGAGTATAATAAAGGGGATGTTTCTCCAACAGTGGATGAGCCCCAAAGGGATGTTTCTGATTTTATAAAAAATTGCCAAACAAGTGTTGTCAATGACGCTTTCAACGGTTACCGTGGAAAAGGAGTTTAGCGAAGCCGACATCGTTTTAACTGACTATGGAATGGGGTTGAGTGTTTCATCTCTTGAAACACTTGTTTGCTTCCATGATTGACTGAAGGCCCGTCGTACAACACAAGTGAACATTGCACATTTGCACTAGACTGCCATTTCGTGAAGGAAATAACATCGGACGCCGAAAGCGGCTTAGACGATTAGTTCATGTATTTAAAATTTAAAGTTTAAACTATTATCGATTGTAATTTATAAATGTGTTAATAAAACAAGTCAATGTTGTGTTTCTGATAAATATACATTTCTTTTTTTAATGTTTAAATTCATTGTTAAAAAAATTGGATCCGAATCAGTCTAGGACTGACTAGATTACCTAGATAGAAGGAATCGGATTCGGGTATCGTAATACTTCGGGTTGGTTCCGATCTCTGGATAGGGGAAACAGGACCAACCGATCTAGGATCAATATGGGACTGAACCGAGTCCACTCCTAATCCCTATGGATGGAATAAAATTTACTATCACCATCCCAATTTAAATTTTCCATTGAAATATGACATATTTACTTAGACAATAATCAAACAAAACTATTCAAGTATATTTTGAGGAATAATTATGATAGGAACTTGTATACTACGTATAATATAATGAAGTCATAATTAATAATTGTATGTTATAGATGTATTATTTTTAATATTTAAGGATTGAGTTATCATCTAAGAGTGTTAATTTTTAAAATAAAAATGAGAAACTTTAACTGAGATGCCCAAAAAAAGATCTACTATGTAAGTATATATCAACCACTGATGTTACAACTAAAAATGTTTTTAATTGACCAATTTCACTCTTAGACCAAATCAAACCAAACATCGACAACTGTTATATAAAGATTATAAACTGTAAACATATATGTATCAAAATAGACTAGACGAGTTTTGACCAGAAATTTTCAATTCAATTAAAAGTATCCTAAATGAGACCCTTTTCGTGCAAAGCATTAAGACACTACGTAATATGGAGTATAATATAACTACATATGTGTGTACACAAAAGCTGTTTGCAGACAATATTCATGTACATAAAAACATGGTTTACTCATATGATAATGCTTTGTGTACACGCCATTTTAAACAGTTCAAATTGTGTGTATGTAGACAAATTGACCTACGTTTTGTGAAGAAAACAGGTTTTCACACTGACCAAACAAAAATTCTCAGCACCATAGACATTTTTTTTGTCTATGACACAGACAATTGGGAAAACCGATTCACTTCACAAAAGCCAGTCAAATTGTCTTCGTAAAGACAATTTGACTAGCAGCGTGTAAAATGGCTTAACTTCCTGTCAAAATAATACTCCGTACTACGTAATCCCTAATTTGTCATAAGTTCGAAGATAAGTCAAATAGAACATAACCGTAAACAAGAAGCATATTTGCATTTTACATACAGATTTACTATAATGAACACTTTACACAGAATATAAATCTTATTCGCATTCTACACAACACCAGAAGGAAATAAAATGGACAAATAAATAGTTTACAACAACGTAGTTATGGTATGGACAAACTCGGTTTTCTTACGACTCAGAGTGCAGCAAAGCATCAGTCTCCTGGTTTGCTCCATCGCATGCATGGATCACAGAGCATATGTCATTTGCTTCTAGATACTGCTCGGCATTGACGAGAATGACTGGGGCATATTCGAAAACAAGTTGCTTACACTGCCAAAGTCATTGTGAAATAGTTTAGTGAGAACTATGCATGCATCATATTCAGTCACAAAGTGTCTATATTCCCTGGCATGGTCTGTGATCAAAACTGAGAAAGTATAAGGCTCGAGATGGCCCTAATGGTTGTTTGGTTGATGTATTTTGCAAAACAAATTGGAGAGAGAAAAGAGATTCGCATGGTTTGGTTGGGCTGCAAACTTGAAAAGAATGTGGATATGATTTTATTATCCCAAATATAACCTCATAAATGGAATTGATTGTTCCAAAAAGTTGAGGGCAAGCAGTGGCATAGGCAGCACCCAAGCTGGATTGGGTTGGGCTAGGCTGGTACAGAGAAAATTTTTGGGAATTCTTTAACACAAAATATTTTATACTACGTAGTAATATTTTAGACATTTTTTATTGGGCCGGGCTGGGGCCTAGGTTGCCCCCCAGCTAAGCCCATAAGGGCAAGCATGCATTTAAACAAGACCCTTTCTCCTACTTGAGCTCATTCAATCAAAACACACCCAAAATATTACTTTGTACTCATATTCTCCACTCCTACTTCAGTTCTTTCATCTAAAATCGTAAAAATATACCTACTCTGTGCTCAATCACTCTTCTGTCCTAATTCCTGATTTATCTATCCATCCAAGCAAAGTGTTAGTTCTCACCTTTTTGGAATAGTTCTTTGCAGAATCACATGCCTTTAGGAGCAGTTCAAGTACTTCTAGCTGCAAATCATGAGAACAATGCTTTAAAATTATAACAATGACAATAAGACCAGTCTTGACTCTTGACGCATGCTTCTAAAATCCTTAATAGAACAGGATCATACATACACACTCACATATAGTAATGATCTCATCAGGTTGGACTTGCGGAGTTCTATAAAGTAAAAAAAAGTTCCTGCCGTTGGATCACTTCAGCAGTGAGTTCAGCGGTTCTTATTTTTTTCGCTCATATTACCCCTATTCGTTTCCAATCCGATTAAGAGCTGAAATGATTCATTAATTTCAAATATAGACACCAGGTAATCCATTTTTTCCGCAACCCATGTGGGGTTGTTTCATTAGAAGATACCAGAGAGAAATAGAGTTTTCAGCATCTATAATCACATAAATTGAACCATTTCAATAGGTTGGGTTGGGAAACAGATGGGAAGTCTAATGAGCAACAAAAGTTAAACTGATGAAGTAATCTAAGGGTAGGAATGAACTTGACGTCAAAAAAACTGTCAGTGCGGCCTACTCTGATCAATCTCTTTGTATGATGTATCAATGCATGTATCAGACAGTGATACCTGAGTGTCTGGATCTTTCAACTTCAATAAGACCTCAGAAACAGCTTGATGGCACAAATTGCAGTTGTTAGAAAACTGCTGAGAAAGAAGGTTGACTTTTTGACACATGGCTGCCTTTTGACAGAACTGTTCAGGCTCTATTGTGGAGACTTCTAAGAATAGAAGAGGTCCATAGTAATTCACCAATGTGATGCACTGCAAATATAAATTAAAAAACATCACTTTCAGGAGGTTTTTGTTACAAATACTTTCAAAGTTTCTACAGCCTATCTAACAGAATGAAATTAACCCCTCTTTACAATTCCCTCATCTAGGAAATGAGTAGAGAAAATGTAAAATCACCTTGAATCAACATTGTTATTTCAAACAAATGATTCATCTTTAACACATAGTTGAAACTTGACCATACATACCTGCTGCTCATACACACGCATCTTCGGGCAAGACTTAAGAAGGAGATTAATAATCTCTTCTTGGGTCTTGTTACTTTGTAGGTAAGTGATAGCCTCCGCTGTAAATTCTTCACATAGTGTGCAAACTATATCACTTCTGCTGGCTTGTTTAACAGCTTGAACATCTTTCTCTGTGTTTTGATTATTCAAGCATTAGTGTACTAATATAGTACTATAAATGTATAATAAAATAAAGAATGTGTAAGCAAGAAATATCAGATCGGAGAAGATAATATATAATTCTTTTGGTAAGATTGTGTCTTTATTCATAAGAAAAACTGAAAAAGTAATCTGGCTGGAAACAAATGAATCTTGTCCTATAAAACCCCAAAATGACCCAAAACTTTGAACAAAAAAATCACAATTGATCCTAAGCTTTTCAAACATCTCATTTATCCCAAAAAATCACAAAAAGAAATCAATAATATATGACCTAAATTTTCAACAAAAAAGTCCAGACAGCTTTTAGCTGTTTGAGGCATATCATGTATGGACAAGCGAGTATGCAGGAACGTCAAGTACAACAAAAACTATTAAGCCATGAAGAAAATTATAGGTGACAAAAAAACCAGTTGCAACTTGCAATGACAAAAGTATAGAATACATCACAAATCCAAGTAAAAAAACAGTCAACAGTTTGAACATATATCTCTTTCTACCATTACTAGTAGTAAAATCATTTCTTACAAATCTTACAATATTATTTGCATATCATTCTAGGTCTAATGGATTACATGATATCATACTCATTTCATTATAACTGTAAACATTGTCCCAGTCAGCACAAAAAGTGTGACAAATATCTAGAAGCGAACAACACCTGTAATATGTATGATTTCTGTACTAAAGTCAGGAGCTGATAAATCTCTTGCACTACATCTTGCACCTATAATTAAAATAATTAAGCAAACTTTCATATCCATGCTTCCTGAAAAATAAAAAAACTGTATTAAATCACCAATAAATGATAAAAAGATTATATTTTTGGAAAGCTAAAACACAAACTTGACTTCGGGTAAATTTGGCTGATCTTGGCTGATCAGCTCAGCCTCACCCATCAACAATTATTTCCATTAATCTAGTTTAATATATACCTTATAATAACTCTGTTAACAAGACTATTTAAGGCTTCTGGATACATCTACAGGCACTAGGCAGCCAATATATTTAATTCGCGATCACTGTTCTTATCTTGAAAGGATTGAGTTCCTACTGCTAAAACTCAAATATGTGCATAAAATTTTCAACATGCTTAAACTCAAATACACAACACCGTATGTTGAAAACAAAGTTCAAGATTCTGTCTGATGGGCTTTGTACCAACTGATTTGTATAAGCAATATGGCGTCGAAATCGCAAAAATCCAGTATGATTTAGACCCAAAGTTATTCAAGTCACTAAAGTCAATATACAAGCCAGACTTAATGAAGAAGATGCTCAAAAAATTTCATCAAAAAATTCATCCGGGAACCACTCCAATTGGCGACGGCCAGGCAGAACCTCCTATATAAGGGGCTAATTGAACACTTTAAATTAGTTCATGTACCTATTTGACCCTTTAGCCTAAATATATTTTGGGCCCTTCCCAAAGTTTTGTTTAGAATATAAAAAGTTAAAATTGATTCAAAGTAGGCTAAATTTGTTAAAAATTACGTACTCCTAAAAAAATTAATTGATAAAATTGCCCAATATGATCACGTCTCTACTATAGAACTAAATGTATCTTTATAAAATATACTTAAATAAATGCAACATGTTGAATTTTACACTATTCACATGTTGTACTTTGACTTCATGTTATTAATTAATGTATTAATGTATTTTTATGAAAAAAGTATTGTTACGTTTATCTCATTGTAGATTTTCAAAATCTATTGTTTTTACTAATATAGAATTATACTACCTCCGTTCTCAAATAAATGCAACACTTTGACTTTTACACTATTCACATGTTCTACTTTGACTACGTTTTATTTATTAATATAATAATATTTTTTTATGAAAAAAATATTGTTAACTTGTCTCATTGTCAATTTTCATAATCTAATTTTTTTAAATTTTTTACTAATATAAAATCATACTATCCTCCGTCTCTTTTTAATCGCAACATGTTGAATTTTACACTATTCACATATACTACTTTGACTATATTTTGTATTATTATTTTATATAAATTATTTTAAAAAAATATATATTTCAATTTATCTCATTACAAATTTTCAAAATCTAATTTTTAAATATTTTTTACTAATAGAGATTAAGATATAATTACGGTCAAAGACGTGCGTTGGCAAATGTGAAATGTTGACCGTTGCAACTAAAAAAGAACGGAGGAAGTATATATTAATGGTCAAAGTTGTGTCTCGGCAAGTGTGAAATGTTGACCGTTGCATTTATTTAAGAACGGAGGAAGTATATATTAAGGGTCAAAGTGTGTCTCAGCAAGTTTGAAATATTGATTGTTACATTTATTTAAAAACGGAGGGAGTAGATAACATGTATACATTGCTTAACTTTATACTTGCATTTTTTACACAAAACAAAAATTCATAGTTGTTGTGAGTTTGTTTTCTTCATTGAGAGTTTAGTTCAATTTATAATTTGGTCCCGTCTTTCTCGTGTGCACACCTATGCTAAGGGAGCATTGGAGCAAGTGAGCAACAATCCTATTTCAACTTTGCATCATTCACTCTCTGGGTTTCACAAAGAAAAAGAGTTTAATGGAGAAGAAGAAGGGCTTCACAAAGAAGCCATAAGTATGACCTGGAAGAAGACTAAGGGTATGTTTGGTAGAACAAGCTGAAAAGATAATTTTATGAACTTTTTAATAACTGTTAGCTCTTAATGACTGAAAAGATCTTAAAAAAAAGTAGTAGTAGTTTGATAAAAAACTGACTATTTGATTTAGCTCTGTTTGGCATACAAGCTGTTGAGACTAATTAACGCTAGAACACACAGACTTATCTGAGATGCTACTCAGTATTCACTGTAGCATCTGAAAAAATATCTTTTATTTTTATAAAAGCTCTTAAAAATTGGCATACCAAACATACAATTTGAAGTTTTTAAAGACTTTTTAAATAGTACTAGTACAAAAGCTAGTCATGGACTTATGCATGCCAAACATAGCCTAAAGTTCGAAATTTCTCTCACACCACTAAGGCAGTTGTCATATAATAAGAAACTTTGATTTTATGAGCACATATCCAAGGACACTTCTATCATTCATTGCCCACACAGCTCACAGGACGGAAATAGTAAAGTTGAGAAAGATTTCATATGAGATCGGTAAAATAAATTGGGCTGATAAATGGAATAGAAAGCGTATCAGGTTGCTAGATCAGATGTAAACTATTAACACTATATCAACAGCGTTAAAAAAAAGGATTCGGGGACAATAAAAATATAGTAATCATCATTACTACTGCAAATATGTATATGTACCAACCATTAATGTGTAGCACGGTAACATTGTTTACATAGTAACCATTTTAGATAGACTTAAATTGTTCATAACAAATTCACACTACATTAAGTACAAAGTTAAACAAAGAACTTAAATCACCTCTATTTATAAAAGTGCATGACATAGTTATATCAGAGACTTGAAACTCGGTTCAAAGATAAGGAAATACATCTTGCAAAAGACGTAACTGGTAAGTTCCACTAAGCTGGCTTTTGATTAAAAAAGAACAACATTTCATATAGAACTTAACTTGCTGCATTTCGGAAAGTTATTAGACAATTTTAATCAGTAAATGAATTGAGACATTTTTTAAGTATGTCTATTTAGACAATTGTTGTAGACCTCAATTTTTTTAGGACTAAGGTTTAAATGGTGTTGTTGTTGTTGTCGTTGTCCGTTAGGACTTTTTCTTGAAAACCAAGTGTTAATAGTTTTGTGATGGTTTTGGTTCTGAACTCGAGGACCGATTGGTAGAGTTCAGTCCATCGTGAAGTGGGTTTGCACGGTAAGCTTGGTCCGAAAGGGAACTTTGGTTCTCGTCTATTACTTGTATGATCGCAATGATGTACTTGTAATGGTCCGGCGATGATGAGTCTCCTCACAACTTTGTATTGCTACTCTACACCACTTAGGACCAATAAGGTGGAGAATGTTGGAGGTATTGGTCCCACCAAGGCCTCCCTTCCATTTTATTATTGACTTGCACCCTATGTTTACTCTCACAGTTTCATTCCGATAATTGTTTCTCTTTTGGCTGTTGACTTACCTAATGCTTGGCCCCCTTTCCGTGTTGTCCGCTGCATTCATGTCTATGTTGGCCCATGAGCTTTTGTCTTAGCCTCTCCCGTGAGTTGTCAAGTGGCCAGTATACTATTATTTGAACCCTTAGCCTCTTCCTTTGAGACTGGTCCTGCGTGAGAAACAAAAGAGTACAGAGCCTTCCTTTTTCCTTTGTGTGAGAGAGGTAAAAGCAGAGAGTTGAGAGCTGAGTGTTCTCCTCCTTCCTTGATGTCCTTTGTGTGAAACCTTGGGAGTGTAAACATGTTGAGTGGTGGAGTGAGTCTAGCCTAAAGTGGTGTGTGTGAGTCTAGCTAAAGGGTTGGAGACCTGAGCCGGAAAGGAATCGATCCTCAACACCAAGAAAATTTTAATTGTAAAAAAGCTAGAGGTAGAGAAACACAGTCAAAACTATGTACTGCATAATTTAGTAGCTTTCCTGGTAACTCACCTGGTAGGCTTGTAAGAAGGGGGTGCCACAACGGAGATGTTTTGGGTTCAACTCCAAGAAATGATTTGGATGGAACTCCACTCTCTTTCCATGAGAGTGAGATCAAAACTCAACTTACATCCCTTCAGATAGCTATTTGGTCAGTTCTTGGGGCCCTCAGGGATGAGGTGTCATCCATTTAGGAGCTTCAGCTATCACACTTTAGCAAATTAGTGTCCAAGAGTTTTTAATCATAGCTGCGTTTGAAAATTTTAAAAGTGGCTCTTTATTTATCCTTAGTACAATCCTTCCTTTTTAAGTTGTTAACATGCTATGTTTTAAACTTTCTACGTCTTAGCAGCACTCAAATAAGTAGTACCCTAATTTGGCGTGTTATATGTATGGTAATCGTTGTCGGGATTTTATGGTGGAACCTTGATATTGATTTCATCAAGAGAGTATAAGACAATAGTCCGTATTGGACATCTGTGCAAAAAATGCACAATGTGACTAGATGTAAGCTCAATATTACCTAAAAGCTATGGACAAATTATAAAACTCAATTAAGAGTACTTGGAAAAAACTCAAACCAACGATCCATTGAAGAAAACCTTTAAAAAATCCAAAAAGGATCCAGAGAGTTAGGGGATTTTTAGCAGCATAATATTTTACTTCTGATGTTTGATACTTAGTTAGCAAAGTACATACATGCCTAAACAAATTGGAGACTGTTGGAATCACATACAAAATTGTGTCAAAATTAGAGTTAAGAATGATGATGGACTCCCTTGCCAAATTGACAAAACAAAGTTTTGTCAACATCAACACTCAACCTAGATACATAATTCTTTTTATCACTTGCCAAATTACTCAAAAGTGTTTAAATTTATGAATTTATGAATCACATTCAAATTTTTGTGTTATACTTATGTACTGATTTGAGTCCATAATAGTCATACAACAAAAGAGTACACAAGATAACTGGTGGAATCTATTAGCCACACAACAAAAGTTCAGAGACTCATTAGCTACACTGGTACATAAAGTTCAAGAAGGCATCATGATCATGATCATACCTGCCGACTTAGAACTTAATCAAACACACATTAAATTAAATTAAATAATTAATTGATAGAATTAGTAATCAGAGGTGTTCCTGTTTTACACATTGCGGCACCTGAAAACCGCTACAGTCTGCTTCATCCTCTTCTTGTTCATCCTCTTCTTTTTCTTCATCTTCTCCTTACTTTGTTTTGTCACAAGAAGAGAGATCCGTGACAGGCCAAGGCCACCAATCTTTCTCTTAGCTTGGGATTGCTTATTACTAAAAGGAGCACTGTTCTCCTTATTGGTGTCTTTCAAAGTAGCACTACAGTGCAGCATTTGCCCAAATGACACTTTCTCCTTCTCCACTTCTTCTGTCACTTGCAGCTTCATCTTCAGTATTTTCCCTATAGAAAGTGTCGTTGACGACTTGTCCAATTCTTTGAGATGCTGAAGTGGCGGTGCTGAAGAGTTCTTCTTATGTAGAGTAGTAGTGCAATGTCTTCCTTGGGATTGCTCGTACCTCCACATGCGTAAGGCTTCTTCTGCCTCAAGCTTACTCCTATGTGCTGCCTCCACTTTACTCAATGCTTCCTCTAGTCCCTTCTTGCTGACTCTCAATTCTTCAATGGCTTCTTCCATTTTCTTTAAGATCTCTCTTTTCGACGATAGAGCTTTGATTTCAGCTAGAGCCAAAGCTTTCATCTTTTCGGCAGCAACCAACTTCAACTTGGCAGTCTTTATCTTTCCCTTCGTTTCTTCGGTCTCTAGAATAGCTCTCTCCAGGTCAGATTCATTTGCATTTTCTTGGCACCAATCATTCAGTTTCTGCTTTGTTTGGTTTAGCTCTTCCTTCAGAGACCAAACTTTTGATGAGTTAGAGGATAGCCTTTGGCCGGTCTTTTCGAGAAAGGCTCTCTCTTTCTCGATTTTCTTTTTGTACGATTCGATCATGGCCCGAGTAACAGCAAGGTCATCCACCGTCTTGCTTAAGTTGCGTTTGGCTTGTTCCAAGTCCTTTAAGACTGCAACACCATCATTTTCATTGCTTTCCTGCTTAGATGCCTCCTGCAACTTCAGTTTAAGCTCTTCCACAACAGCCTTGGTGCTTTCTAATTCTTTTAGGACATTCAAAGTTTCTGTTTCTTTCTCAATAAGATCCCTTTCCAACTGGGCAGCTTGTTCCTCCACTTTGGAAATTTCAAACTCCTCATCACCCTACAAACAATGTGTCAGGCACACTAAAGAAAGTTTTCTACTTGAGACTTGGGAGATATATAAAACATTGAGACAGAAATATCAAACTTGAGACTCCCTCCCCATCATGTAATTTTTTTTTATCCAAGTTATTATAATCTGTATTTTAGAAAGGGCTATTTTATTGAAAAGACAAAGCTATGGAAATCTTTTAATGTAAAAGCGTTTGGTAAAGTCAAATAAGCAAATCAACTGATACTTTTTTCTTTTGGCAGAAACTAATACTTATTCAAGTAATTGGTAAATTGGGTTTATTTTCTTCAAAAGCAGAATAAGCTGTTATCAAAATGTTTCCAACACAAGCAGGTTAATGCTACCAAATGAAGGAGCGGACCCAAGAATTTAGGATGCCCCGAGCTGAAAAGCAATTATACTAGATAGTCTAAATATGAAAAATGAAGAAAACTAGACTAAAAAGTTTGAAAAAAATTAAGTTACCACTTCAATTCACCATAACCCATACATAGATCCTCCCTAAACCAAATGGTGCTTGTTTAAGTTACAAATGAACAATAATTACAGATAGGAAGACAAATTAAATTTGAGAGAGACCTGAAATGGGGAGAGAGCAGAGGGTTTCAGGGATGAGGTGAAGAATTCAATTCCTAATGTCCCTGAAGTTTCCTCCATGTGCAAGAATGACAAAGGGATCTTCCATACACCTAGGAGTGACCTTCCTTCCAACCACCATTGAAGCTTCCTTCCACCTTCATAGTACCTAGTTTTGGTGCTATAAATAGAGAGCTTGGAGAGTCTTTCTATCATCAAGTAAATTAGAATAGATCATCATAGCACAACCAAGAAGAGTTGTGAATATCCTTGAGAGATATGTGAGGTGTTGTTTTGAGAGTTTTTAGTTAGAGCTTGTATGTCTCTTCTTTCTATTCTTGAAAGTAATAGAAGTGTTTTTCTCTCATATTAGCACGATCCTGTTATTCCCAACAAGTGGTATCAGAGCCTGGTTGAGCTTTTGATATTTTTCCCAGATTTTTTTCAGATAAAATTCTACTGTCTGAAAAATCGAGTTTTTCAGTATTGCTCAGAATTGCAATCTGAATATACCGTTGGATTCGTCTCGTCGAGACGAGAAAACTGGTATTTTTGGGGATTTTTTTGGCCACCGGAAGCTGCCGTACGCGCCGCCAAACGCCGGCCATAAACTGCCTGCGTCATGCTGACGTCATCACGCGCAGACAGAGGTTGAAGACAGCTGACGTCATCGCTGACGTCATCAGCCAGCCAGAGCTGCGTCAGCGACACCTCAGCGCCACATGTGCAGTCCCAGCACAGTCAGCCGCCACGTCACTAGTCAACTGCCAACTTTCACCAGCGCCCAGTCAGCTGCCACGTCATCGCCCAATCACCGCCACGTCACTGCCACGTCATCTGCCACGTCACCGGTCAGTTTTTAAATTTTGAAAAATTGCAGTTTGGTCCCTCAATTTTTGAAAAATTATAATTTCGGCCTATAATTTTTCGAAAATTGTATTTTGACCCCGAAAGTGCCTACCCACCACTTTCGGCCGTTCCGGACGCAACGGTGCTGCCCGTTTTTCGAAATTCGGCTCCGATTTTTCTGAAACAGAAAATCAAAATTATTTAGAAGGTGAAAATGACCTTTGACGAGTCAACTTCATCTTCCGGAGCTATGATTATGCTCACGGCTACCAACTACACGCTATGGAAACCTCGGATGGAAGATTTCCTTAGCTGTAAAGACCTTTTTGATCCAGTAGAGATGAAAGGTATTAATCCTGACCCGGCCAAGTCAACAGAGTGGAAGAAAATTAATAGAAAAACTATTGGTCAAATCCGACAATGGATTGACCATAGTGTCTTCCACCATGTTGCACAAGAAACCGATGCTTATGCCCTTTGGAAAAAGCTAGAAGATATGTACCAGGCCAAGACCGCTAGGAACAAGGCCCTACTGATGAGGCGTCTTGTCAATATGAAGCTCAAAAGTGGAACTTCTGTTGCCGAACATACTAGTCAATTTCAGAGTCTGGTAAATCAACTATCTTGTGTAGAAATGCCACTTGGAGATGAAATGCAATCTCTACTGCTTCTTAGTTCCCTTCCTGATAGTTGGGAGACACTAGTTGTTACTCTCAGCAACTCAGCCCCAGATGGCAAACTTACCATGTCTGTGGTCAAGGATGCATTGTTCAATGAGGAGGCAAGAAGGAAAGACATGAGCACAGATGAGACTCATGCCCTTGTGACAGAGAATAGAGGAAGATCACAAGGAAAACAACAAAGAAACAGTAGAGGGAAATGGCAAAGCAGGGGCAAAAGTCGGGGGAGATCATCAGATGGCCGGAAACCTTCTTATACCTGCCACCATTGCGGTATAGAGGGTCACATGAAGAAGAATTGCTACAAATTGCTAGAGGAGCGAGGCAAGAGCAATTCTCAAGTGAAGAGCAAGGGTGGTGAAGCGCTCATCACAATCTCAGGTGATGTGGCGTATTGTACTATCAATGATGAAACATGCCTTCACGTCTCAAGAGAGGACACTGAATGGGTGGTAGATACTGCAGCATCCTACCATGTTACTCCCCACAGGTACTACTTCACAACTTACAAAGCTGGAGACTTTGGAGCAGTGAAGATGGGCAATTCCAGTTCATCTGAAATAGCTGGAATTGGTGATGTACAAATAAAGACGAGTTCTGGGAGCACAATCACTTTGAAGGATGTCAGACATGTTCCAGACCTTCGTCTCAATCTCCTGTCAGTGGTATGTCTTGACGAACAGGGGTATGAAAACTACTTTAACAGGGGCACCTGGAAAATGTCAAAGGGCATTTTGACAATCGCTCGAGGACATGTTTGTGGCACATTGTACAAAACCCATTTGAGGATTTGTACGGAAAGCCTCAACATTGCTGAGGAGACTTCTCAGAATCTGTGGCACCTGAGACTCGGCCACATCGGTGAGAAAGGGCTGACTACCTTGATTAAGAAGAACCTTATCAACATCGACAAGAATGCTGCACTGGGTCCTTGCAGTCATTGTCTGTTTGGTAAGCATCATAGAGTATCATTTAGTTCTACTTCAGCTAAAAGATCAGAGTTGTTAAGTTTGGTACACTCCGACGTCTGTGGTCCTTTCGAGGTGGAATCAATCGGTGGAAGCAGATATTTTCTGACTTTTATTGATGATGCTTCTCGGAAAGTGTGGGTGTATTTCCTGATTACGAAAGATCAGGTATTTGAGTGCTTCAAGACATTTCACGTCTTGGTGGAACGTGAAACGGGAAAGAAGCTGAAATGTCTCCGATCTGATAATGGAGGCGAGTATACTTCTAAGGCGTTCGATGCATATTGTAGAGAATATGGCATTCGACATGAGAAGACAGTACCACGCACCCCTCAGCACAACGGCGTTGCTGAAAGAATGAACCGGACTATCATGGAGCGTGTCCGGAGCATGCTGAATATGGCTAAGCTTCCGAAGTCATTCTGGGCAGAAGCAGTCAACACCACATGCTACCTTATCAACCGATCACCTTCGGTACCACTGAACTTTGAAGTTCCAGAGAGGTTATGGACAGGTAAGGATCCTACATACTCACATCTTAGAGTATTTGGCTGTTCATCATATGCACATGTATCCAAAGAGCTCAGGCAGAAGCTCGATGCAAGAACTATCCCATGCATTTTGGTTGGCTATGGAAATGAAGAGTTTGGATACAGGCTATGGGATCCTAAGGAGAAAAAGGTGTTCAGAAGTAGGGATGTTGTGTTCCACGAAGATTTGACAATAGAAGACATTGAAAAACCCACAATGTCTCGGAAGTCAAATGAGGGTGTTCAAGTTTCAAATGAAGCACCAGAAGAGGACAAAGTGCATGAAGATAACTCAGAAACAGAAGAAGGCGAGGAGACAGAAGAGAGTGCAGAGCAAGGGGAGACACAATCCACCCCGCCAGACACAGATGATGGTAGCTCTTCTCAGATGGTTCCTACTGTTCGTAGATCTGAACGAGGGCATATACCATCGACAAGGTACACATCATCCGAATATCTTTTGTTAACTGAAGATGGAGAACCGGAGAGTTTTCAAGAAGCTGTATCTCATAAGGATAAAGAAAAATGGCTAATAGCAATGCAGGATGAGTTAGAATCTCTGCAGAAAAATCAAACTTATGAGATCGTAGAACTTCCTAAAGGGAAGAAGGCACTAAGGAACAAATGGGTGTTCAAGCTGAAGAAGGATGCAAGCGGACAAGTGGTGAAACACAAAGCTCGGTTGGTTGTCAAAGGGTTCCAGCAGAAGAAAGGAATTGACTTTGATGAGATCTTTGCACCAGTTGTCAAGATGACCTCAATCCGAGTTATTCTTGGCTTGGCAGCAAGTATGAACTTGGAGCTTGAACAGATGGATGTGAAGACAGCATTTCTTCACGGAGATTTGAAAGAAGAAATCTACATGCAGCAGCCGGAAGGTTTTGAGAACTCAAATGATAACTTTGTGTGTAAGTTATCTAAAAGTTTGTATGGCTTGAAGCAGGCACCAAGGCAGTGGAATAAGAAGTTTGACTCATGCATGAAGAGTCAAGGCTACAAGAAGACTACTGCAGATGAGTGTGTATACATCAAGAAACTTCCAGACGGTACCTTCATTGCTCTTCTACTATATGTAGACGACATGTTGATCGTTGGGAAAGATGCAGTGAAGATAAACCAACTGAAGAAAGAACTCTCTAAGTCTTTTGATATGAAAGACTTAGGACCGGCTCAACAGATTCTTGGGATGCAGATCACTCGAGACAGGAAGAATCGCAAGTTATGGCTATCTCAGGAGAAGTACATTGAACGAGTACTTGAGAGATTCAACATGAATGATGCCAAGCCAGTAAGTGTTCCACTTGCGAATCACTTCAAGTTGAGCAAAAGAACATGCCCTACATCCAAGGAAGAGATCGGGGAGATGTCAGCAGTTCCATATTCTTCAGCAGTTGGGAGTTTGATGTACGCCATGGTATGCACAAGGCCAGACATCGCACAGGCAGTGGGTACAGTGAGTCGTTTTCTCTCTAACCCCGGGAAGGAGCATTGGGAGGCAGTCAAATGGATTCTCAGGTACTTGAAAGGTACCACGAAGTTATGTCTTTGTTACGGAGGAGCTGATCCAGTCTTGGAAGGCTACACAGATGCTGATATGGCAGGAGATACTGATAGTAGAAAGTCTACTTCAGGATATATCTACACTTTTGCAGGGGGAGCCGTTTCTTGGCAATCAAGATTGCAGAAGTGTGTCGCTTTATCTACTACAGAAGCAGAATACATTGCTGCCGCTGAAGCAGGTAAGGAAATGTTGTGGCTAAAGCGTTTTCTCCAAGAACTTGGGATCCAGCAGAAAGAGTACAAGGTACATTGTGACAGTCAGAGTGCTCTAGACTTGAGCAAGAATTCTATGTACCATTCTCGTACAAAGCATATTGACATTCGGTATCATTGGATACGGGAGACGATTGATCAACAACTGTTGAGACTAGTGAAGATCAATACAAAGGAGAATCCATCAGACATGCTGACGAAGGTGGTAACACGAGATAAGCTAGAGCTATGCAGAGACATAGTCGGGATGCTTGTTTTGAATATGCCTGGAAGGGGAGAATTGAAGAATTCAATTTCCAGGTCATATCCAAGTACAAGCAAATTGAAGAATCCAATTCCTAATGTCCCTGAAGTTTCCTCCATGTGCAAGAATGACAAAGGGATCTTCCATACACCTAGGAGTGACCTTCCTTCCAACCACCATTGAAGCTTCCTTCCACCTTCATAGTACCTAGTTTTGGTGCTATAAATAGAGAGCTTGGAGAGTCTTTCTATCATCAAGTAAATTAGAATAGATCATCATAGCACAACCAAGAAGAGTTGTGAATATCCTTGAGAGATATGTGAGGTGTTGTTTTGAGAGTTTTTAGTTAGAGCTTGTATGTCTCTTCTTTCTATTCTTGAAAGTAATAGAAGTGTTTTTCTCTCATATTAGCACGATCCTGTTATTCCCAACATGAGGGTCTCCAGAAGCCAATTCCCCCGAACCTAGTGGCGGCCTCCTTCACGGACTCAAACGGAGCGGAGGTGTCGATTTCCGCCCTAGAAACCGCCTTCTTTTGCTCCTCCGGTGGAACCTGGCCAATGTCGGGACCCATCTTGAGATCCGAGGCATGCCCATTTTCCGCCTGAGCTCCAGTGGGGTCAGAAACAGCTGCAAGAAAATCCATTATTGGAGCAAAACCCTAAGCAAGATCCTACCAAACCAGAAGCACAGAAGACAAAGAGGAAGAACAAAAGAAAGCGGAGAGTGGGTAGTGAATAAGTGACCGAATCCCTAAGAAAGAGTCAACTAAACGTAGTTAACAGAAGGAGAAAAGCAAAGGAAGTGGTGAAGAAGACAGAAAAGTGGTAGGGGTAGGGAAGTGATGAGTGAAGAGTGAGGCGTGTAGTTGACCGTTGTGTGATGTTTTTCTCATGGGCAATGTACCGTTGGAGGCTTCCAGTAGGCCCCACTATCGAAGAGCTTTATCGAATATTGTGGAGGGAATGCATTTCAATTCGTACTTTGCTCTAAATTCTGTCAACTTTGGGCTTTCTCCCTTTCTCAATTAAGTTCATCATATCCTTTTCGGGTAGTCCCTGAATTAAGTTTTTCTTTCTTTATTTGGCAAATTAACTACATCAAAACAGTATCAAACAGTGTAAAAAAGTGTCAAATAATGTTTTAAACAGTGTTAAAATTATAAAGTTTACCCTAATAATTTTTTCCTTAATAAATGTTAAAAGTAATGGAGTATTTGAGGAGTATTTGGAGCACGGATGGAGTATTTGATACTTTGAAATGTGAAATCACTTTTTCCTTTTAAATTCGATTCTAGATTACTAAAGTACTCCATAGTAAAGTTAAGTGAACCGAATTTAATTGAATTGGGAAAACGGCGGATCGGCCGGCTTTTGGTGTTTCAACGGATATTGAGAAGTTGCAAGTCATGGTGACTCAACAAGACATTTGGAAGGTTGCAAGTCATGACGACTCAGTCAGCTCAATGATGATAGACTTTGTACCCGTACGCACCAGTATTTAGTCCAACATGCATGATTTATTACAGCTTTCAAAGCACTAAACTAAAAAATTAATGATTTGATAAAAATAATGGCGGAAAAGTCGAAAAATCAGATTTTAAGCTTGTAACATACTCCGTATATCTGAATTTGGCATGAAAAGCTTTAGAAAAAATAAAATAAATACCGTAATTGATAATTTGCCAATGTAATATCTTAACCAGAGGTTAAACAAAGAGCCGACAATGCCAACATCTAAAAGTAATTATTCAATAAATATTTTAATCATCAATGAATACGCACAGTCACGCACTTAGAACATCTCCAATGCTAAAATGTGAACGGTGCACATGTGGCATGAGAGATAGCCACATAAATATTAGCAAATAAATTATTTCTCTCCTTATTTGAATGATTTTATATAATTTTAGTAAGTTTATTTCCACAATGTCAAGAAGACCGTCTATATGTAGACATTATCATTGACATTGTAGAGAAAAACTTACAAAACTTGTATTAGTATAAAATTAATTAAATAAAGAGAGAGATAATTTATTTGTTAATATTTATATGGCTATCTCTCCAGCCACATGTGCACACATTGTAACATTGAAGATGCTCTTACCAAACCTGTATATCAGCTTCAAATCCTTCAATAAGTATCCATTAAATTAAAAAGGAAAGTTCAATACATATTGATGTGCAATTTAATCATTTTGCATTTAATTTATGAGTGTGGAGGTAATTAAGGCATGTATGAATAACGTTTGTTCCATAAACGAACAATTCTTGAAGAACCAAATGAAATACTTTCGATGAGACTCAGATTTTCGATCTAGTGTGTCTCTTCCAGTATGTTTGCTATGATATGGTCTATATATAGTCTGTTATTTTTAGTCAAGTTTGATTTGGTCAGTATAATATGATAAAGGTTCTATAGGTTAGGATGTTTTCTTTTGAACTGTTTTCAGTTCCACCAGACCAGACCAGATCGGATCAGACCAGACCAGACTTGCTTGACTTCCGTAGTTATAAAATACACAGAGTCCAGACGTTTACCAGACCAGACCAGACCAGTTCAGACCAGACTAGACCAGCAAATTGCAGTCCAGAAAAAAACATCATTATATTCATGCGTATTTTATAGTATTGTCTTGTCCAAGTCCATTATGATCTGGCTGTTTATGTTTGGTCTGTTTAGATCTAATATCATCTATAAATCTATAATATGAGCTTACATAGAAATGACTCAAAATAAAATAGAATGTGAATTGCATGTAAGTAATAATTGATCTGGGACCTCTGCCTAGCACCAAAGTCAAGTAGGGTTCCCGACCATGGACCTTACGATAAAAAATCAATAAGTTCAAATAGTGTCCATTTTTTCACCAATTCTGAGGCCTCACCTTTCCCGTCCGGCCGTCCATAGCCACTATGCACCTGTGTTGTATGGTAGAGGATGGCCAAACTTATATAGACATAGTGGAACCTATTTGAGTAAGTTTCGAGATTAATTTCGGATTTATTTTGGTTTGATCAATTAGAATGTTTTCGGATTTAAAACTTTGATCAATTTTCGACCTCAAAGTTATAAACCTAACTACCTAGAATGAGATCAGTTTCGATAATTTTATTTTTAGATTGGATTTTCGGTGAAAATTAAGGTCTTCTCTATGCAATACAGATAGATTTATTAGTTAGCCAACCAGATTTGTACTTGAATAAAGTTAAACTATTAAAAGCGGTCATAATAAATACTATGTATTACGAGACTAAGTATATTTTTAATTGAACTGCTATTTTCTGATTTGGTCTAGTTTGATCTAGCTAGTCATGTCTATTTGAGTCTGGTTTCAACTGGTCTATTATGATAGATGTCTGTTCTATGTGTATTTACAACTGCAAACGTTTAATCATGTTTGGTCTGATTTGGTTTGCTCCAATTAAAAACATCCCGAATCTAATAGTTTTAATTAAGGTATTTAACACTAATACCTTACAGGAAGGGGGCCAAGAGCATTTTTCCAGGCGTGTCTGTGATAATACATCAAACTTTAATGGGTCAACGATAATCCCCCTCGAAAATATTGATAGATAATGCTAAAAATTGTTTATTTGGGATGTTTTTAATTGAACTGATTTAAGTTTCAGATCAGACTTTGACAATCCTAAAATTTATTAGACGTCTAAACTAGGTCAAACCAGGCTAAACTTAATTCGATTAAACTAAATCAAACTAGACCTGATCAAAAAAATTAAAGTCCAATTAAAAACATAAAGACCAAAATGTATAGTAAGAAGAGTTAATTTGTGGCAAAACATTTGTATCTACATGAAATATGAGTGGTCATAAAAACATTGACGTGAACTTCAATTCTTTCTAGAGTACTTCGAAGTTCCAACGCCGCTACGATGGTTAACTTTGATGAGACTAATTAACTTTAACCGTAGTAATTAACGATCTAAATAGCACGGTGCAACGGTTGTTCATGGTCCCCTTTCAAAAGGGACTCGTGGTTGAATCCTGGAACTGAAAAGTATAGTTTCATCAGGCCTCTAACCACGTCTTTGAGGTCTAATCGCTGTCGCCGCCTCCCTTCCAACTACAAAATATGGACTTTAAATAGCGTTCTTTTTACTTTGAATTATCCTTTTATAGATTACACTAGATCATATGTAAACATATCAGATTAGATCTAAACAAACCATATATGTTTGTTTACCGTTCTTGAATGCGAATGAAGTTTTAGCCTATTCAAGACAAATCGGACAAAACCGAAACTTGTACCAGACCTATTCAGACTAGACTTGTAAGTTTTACCAAATACGGAGTATATAGATCCTTATTATGAATGAAATTAATATCAATGAAGAATTTGGTCAGTAATATATCAAAATTTGATCTTGTGTAACAACATATTTTAAATTGGCAAGTGTTGGTAGGGACCTCACATTGGGGTTGCATCATTTTGTGTGTGAAAAATGTGTACTTTCTTTCATTTGGACAAAGATGGGAAGCATGATGTAGGGGTGTGAGCGGAGCAAAAGAAGTAACAACTACTCCTAGATCGAGTTAAAAGCGACTTGGCTTTAGGCTGGTCCACGCTCTTAATTAGCCAAGCGTAGTCTTTAATTTGTTTGTTATAGAGTTGTTCATGTCATTAAGTTGGATCCATATACGTGTCAACCAACCCTGCGACATTGTCATTATCCTCAAATTGTTTTTAGTTGAGGATTACGAACATTGTGGGCGACAAATACAAACTGGTTTCGTAGCCTCTCAAATCTTAACTCTATTATTCGGTCCGACCTCTCATATGTTTCTCAGACCATTCTCAAAAAATATGAGAGCGTAACTTTGATTTTCAAACATATATTCAAGTTATTACAATATTAAAGGTAGTAAGAGTATAGATTTTTTCCTAAAATTATATTGGAACCAATTTATTGATTAAGCATGTCTAAAATTACTGCAGATGTACATTGTCCATGAATCTAGCTTGGTCACTATTGTGTAAAATTGAATATGATCTTGATCACTAACGTTTACTATTACAATTATTATTAATAACAACTCACATTTTCATTCAATATCTTTATTTCAATTATATACGGAGTATATATTAGTCCTTGTTTCAAATATCCTCTGTGTAATGTAAGTGGAGAAGTATTTTGAATATTTAGAATATTGAAAGAACTTTGTGTTGTTCTTAGCCTATTGAAAGAACTTTGTGTAATTAAAGAATAATGCTTTTCAACTCATTATTCTTTATTAGTAAGAAAATTAATGTAGAGTTTCTGGACCGGCTCAGACCTCAATCACCATAGCCCAAGGGCTAGCTCACCATTCACCACCAAGGAGTCAACAAGGGAAACCAGAGGGCATCAAGTCTCAAACGCTCAGTTTAGTGCCCAACCCCCCAGACCGGACTGCCCAGAAAACCCCACCGGAGAGGAACCCCCCAAACTACCAGCACAGAGTGAAGCCCACAGAAGGATCCCCAAGGTATCACCGGAGGGTAGCCGGAGCTCAAACCCTAGATGATACCGGCACTCTCTCACTCTAGGACTGGGGTAACCGGAAAGACTTCTCATCGGATAGAGAGAAGGAAGGGGCGATCAAATAGGCGGTTCCAGAAGGAACCAGACAATATAAGAGAAGGGCCACAGGAGTCACGGGCTTGGGCAAAGACAAAAGGGGGCGTATGGGCTGAGTCAGGTGGACAGCCCAAAGAGGGCCAGGCTAATTAATAGCAGACAAGGCTATTAAATGGGATGGGCCAAGGATCCAGTGAGGTGGACCAATACCTACTCACAATCTCCACCTTATTGGTCCCCCTGGTGGTGTAGAGCACAACGTGAATGGGAGTATCATCATCGCCGGTTTTGTACCTGTTCTTATCTAGCCACAGTCTAAATTAAGAGTTCGTTTACAGGATAAAAGTTTTTCAAAATTGAGACATTTAGTCCCCATATCAGCTGGATTGAGTTCAGATGCAATCTTGCATAGTTTGATATCACCTGCATCAACAATGTTCCTTATAAAGTGAAATCTGACATCTATGTGTTTTGTCCTGTCATGGAAAACTGGATTTTTGCACAACTGGATGGCAGACTGGCTGTCTGAGTATACTGTCACGCCCTGCTTAAGAAAACCAATTTCAGTTAGCAAACGTTTCAGCCAAATGGCCTCTTTAAAGGCTTCAGTTGCTGCCACGTATTCAGATTCAGTGGTGGACAGTGCAACAATAGGTTGCAGTTGGGATTTCCAACTTATGCAGGATCCACAAAGAGTAAAGATATAGGAAGTAGTAGACTTTCTATTGTCCCTGTCATTAGCATAATTGGAGTCCACATAACCAGTAAGAAGGATTCCAGAAGGAGTCTTAGAAAACACAAGGCCATGGGTGGAAGTACCCTTAAGGTACCTAAGCAACCATTTCAGAGCAGTCCAATGTGGCATTCCAGGGTTGGCCATATATCTACTTAAGCAACTGACAGCATAGGCAATGTCAGGCCTAGTGCTTACCATGAGATACATGACCGACCCTATAGCATTGGAATAGGGAACAGATTTCATCCTATCAATTTCAGGGCCAGTCTTAGGAGACTGATCCTTACTTAAAACAAAATGAGATGCTAAAGGAACATCTACAGGTTTGGCAGAATCCAGGTTAAACTTTTTCAAGACTTTTCCTAAATAGGAGG